TCCGTGATGAATCAACCGCTCAGTCTTGCCTCACACACATTTGAACCAGCATGACCACATTAAACGGCCCCTGTCACAAGTAGAATAAGTTAACACGGAGTCAACACATTGCTTAAATCAAATTTTTCGTCTTCAGGTTACATTCGAAGGCGATACTATACCCGATCAGATAACAAACTGCCTTTANATGCTGTCTCTACAACACAGACTAGGTCCCATTTCCGTTTCTACACTTCATTCCTCATATCCTGCTTCATTGTCACACGTGGCCCATCATGTTTTTGACAATCTAGCATTCAAAGTCAGGAGCCCGTTCGGCGTCGTGATTGAGCTAAAAGTCGATTCAGTGATGTTATTAATTTCTTTATTGCTTATCCCAATGGCGTACTGATGATGGCAGTCGCATCCTGAGAGCGAGTGTGTAGATTTAATGAAAATGGCCATCGGCGTTGATTTCTTGTTTTTCCGCTCCTTGTATGCTCAACCGGTGTGATCACGATCCGTGAATTTGCTGATCAAACAAAATAGCCTAACAACGAGACACCAGCCTTGTAAAACCAAAATGATCCCGACTCCAACTCAGTTTGATTCTACAGCCGTGAAATTTCGCCTCTTCATGGCACGCTTGTTTCATTCAGAGGATCATTTGTTTGTAGATCACCGATGGTTTAAATACACTGAGCGATATGGCTGGGTGTCGCAAACAATGGCTTTGTTGCATCTTGTCAATTTCTTTGTCCACTGAAATTCTAAATTTTTTCCTTGGATCCCACTTTCAACCTTTCCTGTCTTTCTCCGAATGCTCATCCAAATGGGCGGCCAAAAGACAGCAACCAAAACCGGCGCAGGAAAGTGCATGGTTAATGGTTGTGCAAACTGAACTGAACACTTATTACGTATTCCAGTGAATGGATCTGCCTATTTCATCCCGTGCATAAATGTTCTACAGATTCCTGAGTTTTTAATCGTATTTTACCAGTATAATTTTTTTCCCATGTATTCATTTGTTTTGGAATTTACCGACTAAATTTTCCTAAAGAAACTAAATTTTCTCCACACTGATCTTTTATCATATTGTAGGAGAAGGAAAAGCGTTATGTCCTCTTATTAGACGGACTCAAGATTCGTGATGTGGAAACTGGCTTCTTTGGCAAAAAGCACGTGTTCGCTTTGTACTATCCGGACTCCCGAAATGTGTACAAAGATTATAAACAGTTAGAACTGTGCGCAGAGTCATCCGAGTCAGTCGAGTCGTGGAAAGCATCGTTTCTACGAGCTGGTGTGTATCCGACGAAACCGAAATCGGAGAAGATTGATGAGGTAAAGCGGTTTTCCTAGCGAACGTGATCTATTTTTCTCTCTCGATTTCGGCCACTTGCTGTAGACTTCACTGTGTGTCAATGTGAATGACACTATCACCAGTTTCAACAGTGCACTGTTTGAGTTTTTCCAATGAAACTCTACGGCGCCAGTTTACTGTTCGTTCCCGTGGTCATAAAAAGTGATGGGAACGCACACTCTTTAGACGACTGTCCTGCACTGTCCCACCGCCCTTGCTTTCTCTAATTTATTCATCCCGCTGTACATTTGCTATTCCCTCCCCCCATACTAAGGATTTCATTGCTAAATATGAAGAGTTTTGTGATGAGAAACCATGTACTATTTGGTGTGTTGATCAGCAGTCAACCTCACAAACGCCACAGAAAACATACTGCTCTCAGTCGCATCAACCCCAGCAAGATTGCCCTTCTGACCGTTTTGAGTCATAATGGTTGCTCTTTGTTTGGGGAGCACCAGGATTTGTCGCATTTGTTACAACTGATGTAATGCCGCACTTCATCTGTCCGGTCCGCTGTCTTCACTGTTCATAGCTCAATGTCACTATAGATGATTCAGTGGTTCAACTGGATAAATTCTCTCGCTTCGGACAGAACAGAGAACGTGCATGAAGCAGCTGTGAGGCAACACTTTCACTTTCATAAACCAAGTGATGACACGAGTTGGAAATTTTCTTTAGATATTCACAGAATAGCATAGATTGTCTGCCAATCATTTGCTATCCCTAAAAAATTGCCGTTTTCCATGTNCCATGTGTACATCCCCGCGGTTCGTAGTGTTCCGCTCTGCGGTTGAGCGAGAGAGAGGAGAAGTGCTCATATAGGTTGCGCTAGGCTTCCGGGATGGCTAGTCACTGAGTGCTATATCTGAGCGTCGTAAACAGTGATGCCTCTGCGTCTACTCAATGCCTATGCAACCTTAGTCTTCATAAATTCTCTATTTTCACCTCCACACTGCCCTCAGCATTCCAAACCTATCTCTTCATTCAAATGGGTAGTCTGAAGATAGCAATCTCACCTATGATGTTAAAGTGCATGGTGTATGCTTCTTAGAGCCGAAACTGAACTGCAATTAATTAACCGCACAGTTAATCGGTGTCCTTTTGCAAAACAAAGCCATTAGTCCCGATATCTGTCTCATTCAGCAAGAGTATTTTCGTAAATGCAGCATCAGTTGCTTTCTTTTATTCACGCTAATATCAGGGATGGATAACTTCTTGAACTGAAAGGTAATGATTATGAGTTTGGACCACATAGCCAACAGTGCGTTTTGTCTCCGCGTGACCTTCATTCAATTCCACGAAATTCGTCATATAAACAAACCAAATCCTCTATTTCTCTCATGTAACTAGATGTTATTTCTCATGTGGAGTTTGTTAGCTTTTGGTCGCCAGAACAATTCCCGGCGGTAATCCTGCGGGTCACTAGAAACTCTGTAGGTGGGATTTACACAATCACAGTCTAGCAGCCCCGATATGAATGCAAGAGAAACTCTTATGGGTGTGCTTCAAAACAGACAGAACATACTCACATTCAGTTTCACTTTGGAGGTTCTAGTGAGATTTTTTGTTGAATACAACCGAATAGGCAAAGTTCACATCTGATATTTTCTCATTTACGGATTGAATAGTCAAGTGCTCATCGTGGTGGATTGAACTCCTCGAAGACTGGTTGATGCATTAAAGAACCGGATAGAACAAGCGAACGTTAATGACATTTGTGCAGTTCATCTAGTGCGCATTATTTAACGTATCTGCTTATAAATAAATAGCGTTTGCATATACCCGCAGAGATTAGTCATTTCCGGGATGGCCTCCCAAAAGTCCTTTATCCTATTCTGCTACTTGCGCAGAAAATCCCAATTATCTGTTTAAGTAAGTAGCCCACGGACACATGGCCCCAGCCAGCTGTATAAATTTCCATTCTGTATAGTTTGAATTCATCCACAGCGAAATGCTTCTAAGGTTTCGAGTAAATCTGTTGTAAACCGGTGCATCCGTATTTCCGAGATCCCAAAGTAAACATCTTTTAAAAGGAACAAACCAAAATCTCTGTTTCGCTACGCTAAATGAATTCAGTAGCTTTCAGCTGCTGATCATTACCATAGAGAATATCGCAGCTCTGGTGCCCACGTACATAATGTAGTCTCTGCGTTCCACACAAAGGTTAGATGTTCTAAAGACAAGCGCGTAATCCCAGTGAACACTGTTAACCATGAATTGATTGTTAGTTCGGTGTTCGGCGACCGTTTAGGCTATTTTTTAATCTCAGGGGTGATATCTAACCCTTAATTCATCGAATAAATTTGTGTAGTTGTTTTAAACACTGTTTGAACTCGCGATCCTCAAACTACAAAGAAACATTTCTCATTTACTTGCGGTAAACGGTGAACTATTGATGGAGCTAAACAAGCTTGAAACAGCTGAGCGGTGCTCTTCAGTTCCCACTTTGTTCATTTTCTGTCCAACGAAATTCATCATGAAACATGAATTAAATCCTTCACTAGCTACTCTCTTGTATTGATCCATCAGGTTCACGCTGTTCACGACCGCACCATAGCCTTGGAGACTTGTGTTAGCATTCGCGAGGCGAAAGGCTCGCAACAAGCTTGCATCGACAGCCTGTGCTGCATCGTGTATATGCAAAACGAAAAAAGTCGGTCTGATCAGCTGCCCGATGGTCAAGTGCGCACTATGCTTGCGTTCTATTTGATTCTCATTTGTGACTGGATTGGTGCTGCTAATGATACCCAAACTTAATCGAAACAGCTGTCCAGGGCTCACTTGCTTCCCGGTTCACGTTCCTTTTTTCTCTGTATATGCGGAAATCTATCAGCAAAATATGATGATTCAGTTTCATCTTCTACAACCATTAACCAAGCTCTCGTGCTCCGGTTTTAGTTGCTGTCGGTTAGTGCCCCATTTGAATAAAAGAGCGGAATGAAGATTCGAATGTTCAATGCAAATTCAAGCGGAAGATAGAGAATTCATATAGAACAGTGATAGGGAAATAATGAGTGGATGCACGAGCGCTACTGTACCCAGCCGTGCCACTCAGTGTCTCTAACCATCGGTGACCATGATCTCCATGGTCCCCAGCTAAGGAGCCTAACGGGACCTGTGTGACTTAGTCTCTTGGTTAGGGTTTTCATACCCTCATGCCAGATCTTAGCCTGACCACCCTTGACTTACTTCCACCCATTACCTACCTCGGCAAACATCGCTCGCCGTGGTAACCTATTTGGTGGCATGCGTAAAACATGTCCCAACCAACGTAATCTATGGAGGTCTATTACTTGCTCCAGTGGACGACTGCGACTGCCTAAAACTCTACGTCTAACCTCAGCATTACTAGTCTGGTTACCCTACCAGACTCGTGCACTGCGATGTAGACAGCGATGTTCAAACACCGACAGTCTATTTTTTCTTGTTGCTGGAGGTGCCAAGTCTCTGTACCGTAAAGCAGTACTGGCCTAACTGCTGCAGCATATACTCGACCCTTCACAGACAGCTAGATGTCTCAAGTTGTCAAATGGTTAGGTTAGGTTATCTTTCAGGTTACGTTTTTACTGCCGAACTTGGAAGATTTGGCGTTGTGCAACGCCTCTTTGTTTCTATCCATTCTGTGCAGTTTGTGGTCCAAAACTCTTCACCCCACGGATCTTCTGTGTTGTCGTCGTGCAACTAACAGTTCATTTGCATGCCTATCCGCGTGTCGATCATTGTATTTTGTGTATTGTAGCCCGCCCCCACTGTTGTTCGGACTGTAGCCTCGCCGAAACGGGTGAGTGGGTATTTGTTCAGTTCAAGTTGATGTTAATTGAATTGCTGTGAGATTTCGCAAATCCTGTTTGCTTTCACAACACTGTTCGTTCCGAGTGTGCGTCTGTCTGTTTATCGCCTTCATGCAGCTGGATTTCTCGTTTTTGTATTTACCACTGTCATCGCAAATCCGATTTTTTACGGTCACTTTAACTGGTCCATTGGATCGTCGTATCTAACAGCAATATCGCTCGGGACTGTTCTCGAGAACAATACAAGAAACATTGGAAGTCATGCTGTCAATCACTTTATGCTGTCAAGACTAACTGGTGTGTGATTTTCTACTCGGTGCTGGACGGGTGTATTCTCTCCNCCCCCCCCCCCCCGCCTAATGCTCCCGTTGATGTCTCACCTTTGGTTGTGCTCGTCTTCTAATGTGATCGATACTCTCACTCCTGTCCTATGTCTTGGGTGTTAGCCATTCACTATCGTCCCTTCTGCTTGTTCTTTTTTCCAATTTTGTCTATCCAATTGTTTAGCAGGTGGATAATTTGTCTTTGGATGCTGCTGATCCGCAATTGGAACGTCAAGTGGAAATAATCCGGAATCTGGTTGAATCCTACATGAAAATTGTGCACAAAACACAACGTGACTTGGTCCCTAAATTGCTTATGCACATGCTTGTGAACGAGGTACGTTAGCGCCGCCGGTTTTCCTGTATTTCAAATGTTTTCTTTACTTAACATTTCCGAGCAAAAACAAACCGATCCTCTAAATTATTAACGACGCGCCTTGTCCTGTTTCTCTTTTCTAGATCAAGAACTTTCTCAAGGGTGAATTGTTGCCCAATCTCTATCAAGCTGGAGACTTGGTAAGTCAATTTCTCCTCAGTGGAACATGACTTGCGTCATGCTCTAACTCTCATATCCCTGTTTCCGTTTATCTTTTTAGAACACACTGATGACTGAGTCGCTTGGCGTTCAACAGAAACGTGAGGAAATGATACGAGTTTACGATGCAATGAAGGAGGCGCTGAGCATCATCGGTGAAGTGTCCATGTCGACTGTATCCACTCCACTTCCTCCCCCTGTGAATGACGACTGGCTTCAGGTGAGTTTTTAGCTCCCAGATATTCGTCTCTTAAACCATTTTGATAATTGTCCGGAGGAAAAGTTATTGTTACTTTTAAAAGACAATTTCCAACTTGAATACGAGCTCCTTACGTGGCCTGTGCTGTAAATTGGTTTATCAACATCCTAATAATTGTTTCTTTGCTGCAGTACGGGGTTCCCAATGTCGGTTTGATAAGAATTTAGCTGCAATCTGCTGTAGTCTTTTGCTCACTCCCCAAAATCAGATTTCTGAAAATCGAATTTAAGGTCGTCTCTGATTTGCTGATAGACAGAGATCAGATGTATCTCAGACCAACTAACGGATTGTAACTGACCTTTTTTCGACCACTTCAGTTCATTCGTCAGTAAGTTCAGTAAGTTACACGGAAAGAAAAAAATTAACAAGCCAAACCTCAGTAGATGAAGCTATATGCTTTTGCTAGACGGTCGGACAAGTATTCTCGCTCGATTAAACATCTGGTGCCCATCTGAAGAAACTACATTTAGTTAGAGAACAATACCAAATCCACGCTCCATTGGACTCGTTAGGTTTTCATCGGGCTACAGACTAATCGACAATCAACGCATCAATAAGCATTGCACAAGAGCTTATCTTGGGAACCCAACATGATACATTCAGAGAGTTTTCAAAAGAGTGCTCTCGTTGAAACTAGGAAGTAAGAGGGCAAGACACGTGTGTTTAAAGCTACAGAACAATTTAGTTATGCGAACCAAAAAGTCCCATATGTCTATCTTATTTTTCTAGACCACCCCCAGGCAAGATGCACGTTCCAACCAGGTTGGCATTCTGATTGAATTTTGGTCGTATGCTGGCAGCCCCTGACTTCATTCTTTTGCATCAGCCTTACCTGCGTTGGCTTGAACTGCAGCACTTGGTCTGAGACATCTTATTGTCTATTTAGCGTCTAGCTATTCTGCAGCTGATTATCGAGATAATTTCTCGTCTGTGGCGGAGTGTTTTTCACACCACCATTGACGTTTCTTGGACCGGTAATTGGTTGGCGCCACCAAGTCGATCACCCTATCCCTTCATGATGACGGTGGCCTCATCCACAAAATGATGTTCTTGTGTCTTATAAATCGAGCTATTACTCTCTAAACTTTCGTTAGTTTCTAAAAAAGGCTAGTGCGTTGATGTTTCGGGTTGTTTGTGGAATACGGGACCGCATACGTATTCCAGAGTGTGCAAATGAAGAATGGTCATAATATGCTTTAACCAACTCCATTGTACAGTACAGCCTTGTAACCATCAAGCAGCATTGTATAGACATGGACGTACATCATTCGATGTTCATTACTATTTAAGTCTCTTTCGTTATCTCACGCAGATAAAACTCCGCTCTTTGACCATGGAAAAGTACCATCCAGTGGAGTTCGAATTCATGTGAACTTGATATCATGGTTTTACACGCAATTCTACTTCCAGGTCGAGAACAATTTGTCACCCTCAGGTGGCGGCTCTATCGGACCACCTCCTCCCAGCCCAGGTGGTAATCGACGACCTCCTCCACCTCCACCCGGTGCTTCAATGGGTGGAAAAGTTCTCACCCCACAAGTTGCTTCACGACCCGCTCCATCGGTCCCTGGTCGAGCACCTCCTGTTCCGAACGCGAATTTGCCTTCACCGTTAGTTCCACAGTATGTTCAATCGATGTATTATCTACGAGTAGTTTTTCAATTTATTGTACACGCATCCGTTACGTCACCCGATCAATGTTCACTCTTCTGTCGGGTTTTCCTAATTGTTGTCCACTTTTCGCCTTCCTATGCATGAATCATGACCAGTCGGAAAAGTTTTTCAATTATGACTCAACCGTACTGTTCACCCTCCGCCGGATTTTTTCAACGCCTCTGGGGAATGTTGTGGTGTACTGAACTGAACTGAACTGTCACATGTGACCAAACATCTAGAGAGTTTTGTTAATTAGGAAGCAGCAAACCTCCTAATCAGTTACGTACTACCGTCGGCTTACTCCAAGTAGACAAACTTGTGCAGTTTTCTTCACTGTGTCCAAGGCTGTCGTTCACATGGTCACACGAATTTGTGACCATGCGTGGAGCGAAACTAAATGATCTCATACCTTTTCACTGACTCATCCTCGTGGTGAGGTAGACAGAATTGTGTTTTCACTGTGCTACTGTGCGAATGCTGTTGACCCTAGCATTAACCACTACACGGGTCATTGTATCATGTCCGATAAAGCCATAGACTAAATAGAATGCATACAAATAGTTTATCGTGTTAGTACGCTGCTGTGTTATCCACAAGTGATTCATATAGCTTGTGACATGAAGTAGCGAACACTTTCGGTCGACTTAATTTCGTGGCACAATGAATCTTGTTTGTACAGGATTTCGTGAGATCAGGGGCAGTATGTTGTTGTTTCCAATCCAAAATACGTCACTTACAGTGATTGATTTTCTGACTGGTATCTGATACTGTCTCCAGCGATAACTGTACAGACTGAATACTTAAGTAGTCCAGGTGTACACTGATGCATGGGTCCTTTTAGGCTCCTGTGTTACTCACGTTCGACATGTCCTTTTGTACTTTCACGTGTTTGTTTGTCCTTCCGGGGATGGTTTATCCTTTCTTGGCTTGCGTACTATTGTCCGTGATTAGTGATTTATTTTTTCATTCACTGTTGTAATTTTTTGTTCACGGGGAATTGTTTCCATTAATGTCGTCTCTCCCCACACACTGTCTCCATTGTTGTGTTTCCGTTCGTTTTGGGTTCCTATCCTGACAGGCAGGTCCACCCGGTCGAACCTGCCATCCTCTCGCGAAATGCGAATTCCACTCCAGCATTCAATTTCGGGCCCCCCTATCCGTTGATTCCACCCGCCATTCCAGCGTGAGTCTTTTATGTAATCAGCGTAGTCCCAGCCTAATCTGTCTGCTTTTGAGTCAGCGCTAAAATAGGCTTCTTGCTTTGAGTCAAATCCCTATTTTCCGGGTTTGCCTAGCAGTTTCCGCTTTTGAGCTCCTTTGCGGCGTAATAAACTGCGGTTTTCGAACTATGGTTTCAAAAAGTGAGCAAATTTCAGCATCAGCAAATGTTTTCCGAAGCTTCAGGATAGATGATAGAATAAATCCAATCGCCAAACCGGTAATTTGCTAGCCTTATTTGCTTAGCCTTCCGCGGTACAAAATAGAACAGTACAGGGCACAATCAAAGTTCTCGTGGCATAGGACTGTCGTTTTTTTGCATTTTCGAGGTCGCTTATAGTTTTCTGCAATGTCTATGTGGCCGCGCTGTGTTTGACTGAGAAATTGCATCTGTGTTTCTCGTTGTTTCCTGTCAGTCACTATCGCACATCTAAATTTTGTCTTTCGATTTCTCGTGCACCAGTAACTGTTTTTAACTGGTAATTTTTTCCCTTGCGCATGCTGATATTGTCTTCTGTCGTCCCCCTCTTGCCAAACCCCATTGTTTCCCTCCGTCCGCTCTTGCATGGTTCGCTTCCTCACGGATCACATTCCGTCTGTCGGCTTTATTACTGTTTTTTCTCTACGTATGGATACCCGCACACACGTCTACTGTTGCACTTCTCAGTCGCCCGGGTTTGACCGTTCCACAAATCCCTGAGCGTCTTGATATNTCCATCAATCACCACTTTTCAGGCGACGTTGAAACCAGGACTGTCCAGTGCTTGCGCTTCTGTCCGAAAATTACTCCTCCACTGTGTTGATCGGGAAGAAGATCAATGTGAATCTGGCGCGTTCCACCCGGATTGTGGCTTCTTGTCATTATCAAGTCACCTAAGAACGTTCCATTTTCTCCAAAAGGACAGGTGCACAATCAGTTCCCTTGAACCATGGGCACTAGTGATTTGTCCTTTTCGATTCCCATCTGCATTTAATCCATTTTCTTGGAATAAACGGGAAAGTGGTTAGGACTTCGGTTCTACACCCGCTTCTTACACCACCTACTCTGTTCCTCTTTACTTGTACCAGTTTTCTTCTATATTCATAATAATTTATTTAGCTCGTACAAAGTTCAAAGCTACCCTT